AAAATTAATTTAATTCTTAAATACGAAAAAGAAAAAAATATTCAATAATTAGAATATTTATATTATTATTTAATATGAAAATGATGAATATAATTTTTCGTTGGTAAATATTTTAAGACAAAATTATGTCATCACACTTGTTTTTATATTTTTTTATACATAAACATATATTATTTTTAAATAATATTATTTAAAAAATAAAAGTAAAATATATTTTTTAAAATTTTATTTTATTAAATGATTAAGTAATTAGAAATCATAAAAAAATAGTATATAAAAAAGTAATGCTTTAAATATAAATAATTTTTTAACATAATAAATTTGTTAAAAATAGGTTGGAAAAAACTTTTAATAATGGTTAAAATGTGTGTAAGGACACACATATAAAGAACTACTTATTTATTTTAAAATCAACTTACTTTAAAAATTAAATTTATGAATGCAATATATATTAAAGTGTATATTTTCAATTTATTATGTAAAAGAAATTGACATAAGATATTATATTATTTTACAATGATCACCTAGGTTGATTGAGAAGAGAATTATGAATTAGTGTTTTGGTATAAGAAAATTTGTAATATTAAATATGATTCTAAATGTTTATGATTTGGTATATTTAAGTGCTAAATTTAATTATTTATTGCTTAAATTAAATTATTAGATATATTTGGCTTTTATTGGTTTGAACATTTTAAATTGTTAAAATGAGTTAAAAAAAATATAAAACAAAGTTTATAATATTACGAAGTGTTTTTTTTATTACAAATATATGTATTTTAAATCTTTGAAATGAATTATTAAATATAATTTTAATATGGAGTTATAAGTAGAGGTGATTAGTGTAATTATTTATTAGGTAATATTAATTTTAATTTTACATACTAAGTATGAAGAATAGTGAATGATAAAAATATCTATATTACAACTTAATACAAATTTTTTATTGTTGATAGTTTTTCTTAAGATAAAATTACTATCAATATTTTTCATGGATAATATTTTACAAAATAAAATTAAATATACTTTTAAAATTTAATTTTGTAAGTGGTTAAGAAATAAATTATCGTAAAAGAATAAAAGTAATATAAACAAATAATTAATATCATAAAAATATCAAATAAAAAAAACTGACAGTTGAAATATTTATCAATAGAATAAACATTGTTAAAATACTTATTTAAAACCTTATAGGGACTTTTATGTACATATCATTACTGCTAATTTTTATTACATTAAATTAATTTAATTTTTACGTACTAAAAGAAAAAAGAATATTAAATAATAAAAATATTTATATTATTATTTATTGTAAAAAAGATAAATATAATTTTTTATTGAATAAATTTTTAAGACAATTATTTCATGAAAGTTGTTTCTATATTTTATCATCAATAAACATATATTATTTTTTAAATAATATCATTTTAAAAAATAAAATTAGACTATATTTTTTATATTTAATTTTATTAAATGACCAAAATAATACTTTTAAAATATGTTAGAATTTTTTTTAATATTTTTAAAATAATAATTTTTAATACAATAAATATGTTAGAAAACATTTTTAATAATGGTTAAAATATGTGTGAGGACACACATTTAAAGAATTATTTATTTTAAAAATAAACTTACTTTAAAAATAATTTTCAAAAGTAGAATATGGATTAAAGTGTATATTTTTAATTTGCTATTTTAAAAGATTGATGTAAGATATTTTATTTTTATAATGATCATCTATATTGATAGAGAAAATAATATCAACTTTAGATACAAGTAAGTTGTATAGGAGATTAGAATGCCAAATAAAAAAAAACATATTAATCAAAACAAATAAGTAAATTGTGTTAGTTATATGAGTAAAAATGATAGTATTTTGCAAAATAAAATTACTATATCTTTCTTAAGTTAAAATTACTATTATTGTTTTTAAATGATAGTATTTTGCAAAATAAAATTCAAATATCTTTCTTTGATTTAATTTTATAAGTGATTAAGTAATGAAAATCATAAAAGAAAAAAATAGTATAAAAAAATTAATACCATAAAAATATTAAAACGACAAAAGGACTGACTAGTGAAACATTTATCAATAGAATAAACATGGATAAGAAGGTAATTTTCCTAATATCATGCTTTATTATATTATAATAAGTATTAGATATTTGTTTAACTTTTAAATAATACATAATAAATAACTGACTAAAAAAATAATTTCAAGTCCATGTGACAGTAAAATAAATGTAAATAAAAAAATTAGTTTAAAAATAAAATAAATGGATAAAAATGTAAAAAAATTATATTTACATGTAACAATAAAATAAATATAAATATTAAAAAGTAAAATAAATAATTTAAAAATTAAATAAATTGATAAAAAAGTAAAATAAATTCTATGTACATGTGTTAACAAAATATATATAAAAAATTGAAAAATAAAATAAATGAATTAAAAAAATAACTTTCAGATATATGTGATAACAAAATAAATATAAATAAATAAAAACAAATAAATAAGTAATAAAAAATTTATGAATACGTAATAGAAAAATAAATATAAATAAAATTTTAAAAGTATCAAATGATTTAAAAACTAATATATAAGACATTTGTCAACCAAATAAAATAAGTATTAAAATAAACTTTTTAATATTTTCTTTTCATATATTATACAATAGGTTTTTAACATTTTTATGTTATGTAAGCACGATTTTGAGGTAGTTTGATACCACTTACACTTAAGGCAAAAAAAAAAAAAATCAACGGATGACACTAATAATGTCTACTTATAATTCAATCTAACAAATAAATCCATTAGTTATGTAGTTTTAAAAAATATTTGAGAATATTTTAAAATTTACGAATACTCACGGATATTTACTGATATTTAAATTTTTTTTACTAAAATAAAATTATAACAATATATAAAATATAATATAAATTAAATAAAATATAAAATAAAATTTAATTTTAATTAATTTAATTATAAATTAATGTTATTTTAATTAAATTTAACTTAATAAAATATAAATTAAATTTTTATTTTTATTTTTTTGAATAAAAAATATGTGTGGTGCAAATATTATAATATCACACTCGATCATCATTTATAAATGAATATTAAAATATTTGTGACCTATAATCCGCAAATATTTGCGAATACTAATTAATGGTCGTGGTCAATTAATATCTGGAGCTGCAAAATTTTTTCTATCCCAAGGCTGACATAATTAATGTAACTGTACAGAAGTTTAATTTATTTATACTTTTTATATTATACTATTTTCTAGTTTAAAGAAATTGAACATTTTGCATTTGTAGTTTAGTTAACTGTCATAAACTAAACAGTCATCATTCTCTATTAGTAGAGAGACTACGTCACCACTAAGTGTAATAACAACTGGATGCATAGAGAGTTGAGTTAGTAATGTTTTTTCTACTGTGTAACTGATCTATAAGCTCGTTGACATTATTTTTTTGGTGATTTAATGACTATCTTCAATTATTATCTATACATTATGTATAAATTAAAAATTGTATTATGTATATAAGAGATATAACATTTTATTGTACATTTTTATTTAATCCTTATAATTATAATTTTGAATTAAGCTGAGGATCTAATTTTCATCTAATTTTTGATTTTTTTTTCTGTTTTACTCTCTCAATATTTATTGGTTCCAAATCTTTTAAATTTTTAACATGACAATATAAATTGTTCAATATTAATTATTTAATCCTTATTCATTATTTATTATTTAATCTCATAATTATTATTTTTATTTTATTAAAAAATAAAAATAATCATATAATACAAGAAATCTTGTATTATATGGTATCATAATTAAAAAGCGATATATATATATATATATATATATATATATATATATATATATTTCAAATTATTTAAAATATTAGTTTTATGGTTAAACTAAAATATATATCTAATTTGTCTTTATAATTTATGATATAAAAGAAAATGAAAGGTTGTGAGACAAATATTTAAAGGTAAAAGGTTAAATATATTTTATATTTTATAGGAATAATTTATCATTTTTTTCTCCGAGAGTTAGGTATAAGTTTTGAAGAAAGAAAATTAGGAAGAAGAATAAAAACATAAAGGAAACACAAAAATATATAAAATTTATTAGAATTCTATGTTAATTTTAATTATTTTTTTTAGAAAATATTACAAAGTTATTTAATTTTATTTATTTAATAAGGTTTGAAATAAATCTAAAGTATTTTCCTGACGTTTAAGAGTAATTAAACTTTTAATAAAACAAACTTCCAAGAAATTATATTAACTTTTGATAAATGATTTCTGTTAAATATGATTTTTTTAATAGATAACATAACAATTATATTCTATACATAATAATATATTCTATGATTTGTATAAAGTCTAAAAATATATAATTTATTTTAAAGACAGAAACAAAGAACAATATTTAAAATTCAAAATAAAATATCTATCGTAAACACTGTGTAAAAATTTGAACGAAAAGGGAGTGCTGTAAAACTGACTTACACTAATAGTCTTGAAATGATTTGGTTATTAATTAATTGTATAAGTTCAGTTGTTAAACTCTTAAACAATACAGTTTAGATATAATATTAAGTAGTTAAGTTTTTTTAGTTTATTAAAAATATAATTAATTATTGTTTATTTACTTATGTCTAGCCCTACTTACACTAACAATTTATTTTTAGAAATATTTTGATTATTACAAAAAGTTAATTTTTTATTTATAAAAAAGAAAAAAATTAAAAGATAGAATAGTGAATCTAAAGTGTGGATACAAATTTGTTAATGTGAAAACTATAGTATCTTTTCAGTCCATAGTTAAATCTAATTGAACACACTAGAGAGAGTACTTCAAAAGGCATGCAACTAGGCAGCAACATTTATTTATCCACCAACATTTCACTAAACCTAAACAAACACACAACACAACCAACAACAAGAGGATGCTTTCATTCAACTTAAAAGTCAAACAACACTACACTGACAGATATATAGGGAACTTCAGAAACAACCAACCAACCAACCCTTTTAGAACTTCACTTCACTAGATGGCGAGAATGAGTCCTGGAACAGACTCGTCGCAAAGCTTGCTCTGCCAAACGCTTGTACACATGGCAGAAGCAACAACATCGTCCGAGCCATGGAAGCCGAGCCTGGTGACAGTCACGGAGGTGTTGACGTACTCCCTAATTTCCGTGATGACGCCGTCTGCGGTGGTGGTCCACGCGTGCACCCACCACACCAAGTTGGTCTCGTCGAACCCTTCAGCGATGGTCACTGATCCGAAGCCAACGATGAGGTCAGGAACCAGCACAGGCTTGGAGGAGGAAGAGGAGGTGGTGGCGGTGAGATGAGGAATGAGGTGGTGGCGGTGGGAGGGTGGGCCGTGGAACCACCACTCCAAGTCTGGGGCTAGAAGACGGTGCATTGTGTTGGTGTCCTCTGAGGTTATGGCTTTGTATAAGTCCGTTATGGTTCTCTTGTTGCGATCTTCTTGATCGTGTAGCCATGGTTTCTGTGAATTCGAGTTTGCCAGTTCCGGAATATTGAGTATGTAAAGTGATTGTTTTAGTATGAATGCGAGAGAGGGGGATGTCAGGAATTGGAGTGGAAGACAATGGTCATGAAATGTTCTTATATAGGTCTCTCGAGAGTTTACATCAGACCATGTTTTAGAGTTTTAATAATTAGGGTTAGTGCTATAAGATAACAATCCATTAATAAAATTATTTTATTAATAGACCTGCATTAGAAATTATAAGGGTTTGTGCACACTTTTTCAAATAAAAATTTGCATTATTGGTTTCTTATGGGCATATATGTTTGCATTTTCTTAATAAAAATTTGATGTTTGTCTTTTATATATTTTTTTAGGAGACAGGTGTAATATTTGGCGCATGTGTTCACATTATTTAAATTCAATTAATGCTGGTGTTACAATAAAGGAAAAAAGAAAAGTCTTATATGTATCAATTTTTGGTAGTGAAACAAAATTAATTATATGTATCAATTTTGAAGGATGTCATATCCATTAATAAATGTAGTTTAGTGGGAGGGAAAAGAGAAATTACTTTATATGTATATATATGGAATATCCCAATAATTCTTTATGAAAATATATATTTTTGTTTGGCAATAAAAAGAAAACAGTTTTTTCTCGATAAAGAGTTGTCTCATAAGGCAATGTAAGAAATATTTCAGTTGGTAATGAAGGCTTTACAATATTTAGATTCTCCCACATAGTTAATATGATTGGCTCTTTTGTTTATAGAATGCGGCGTTCAAAATCATATTGGCTCTTTCGGGGTGATTTTTCGTCATTTGCTATTTGAAGGAATGAAGTTGTGCAGTTTGCAGATGGTGAATTCTGATTTGAGAGAAAATGATCTTCAAAGTCAATTTTGAGTTTTACTGTTTTTTTATTGGAAAGTTCTATTTTAACAAGTATTCCAGTTAATTGGTCGATCGTATGTTGTTGTTTGTAAGATTGAAGAAGAATTTGTTCTGCACCTAGTTTTCTATCCATGTAACGGTCTGTTATTTGGTTGTTGTCTAATAAAGCTATTTTGTACTCGGAAATATATGTTATTTAGAACTTTAGGGCTGAATTTTATATCTAGGGTTATTTGCACTAGTGCAGAAAGGGCTTTAGACGTCTATTATTTTGGTCTTTTAACGTCCGATATGTATCCGACGTCTTTGTGGGTGACGTTACTCAGACGTCGGGTACGCTGCCCCGACGTCTATATAGACGTCGGATGTGGTCATCTCCGACGTCTACAGGCTCTAAAACGTTTTGTTTACTGTAACTCATTGGACGTCGGTTTGTGCATTGACAGACGTCTATAGACGTCGGTCAGTGCACTAACTGACGTCTACTGGGTGTTTATTTTTAAAAAAATTAATTTATTTTTACAATAAAACCACACCTAAAAAACAGAAAATTGTTCAAGAACAATATAATATAATATATATATATATATATGCGTTTCATATAAAGAAAGTTCTACTTAATGTAAAAAAGTTTAAGGTGAACATCAAAGTAAAATTAATATAACTATATTTATCATAAAAGTTTAAGGTGAACATCAAATTCAAAGTCACTTTTGGAGAAACACTTACCCTTGAAGCATGGTTCTCAAGTTAGTTTTCATCTTCTTGTGCAACGAACAAAACCATATAATTTTACATTGTTTGGGAATGATGACCATCAGCTGCCAGTGCGACCTATCACGAAGGACAAATATTTATTTAACTAATTAAGGAAACTTTAATAATGAACTTTTACATATAACAACACCTACCCATCAATGTATGACACAAGGTATACATCTCTTTTTGACTCATCCATCCATGTTTGCAAATAATGTTGTCTGTTTTCAAGTGTCTTACCAGAAGGTTGAATGGTTTGAGATTCAACAAATCCGTACATGGAAGACCGGCCTTGGCCTACAACGATTGTGTCCATGTACCTAGAACAACAAAGTTAAGTTGTTAGAAACTAGGAATCTAAATAAAACTAATATGGAAGACAAAATTAACTATCTTACATAGTTGAATGATGGAAATATTCAACATCGTGTCTCCCCCAATCACCTCCAATGCATCATGTCAATGTGATATATACTGGCACATGGGGTAAAGACCAAATACTCTCAAATCCCAGTATAGTTCTAATGATGCTCTCTTTAACCTTCACACTTCTTAAACAGTTACAAAAACTTTGTTTTTCTTTTTTAGAAAGAATGTGACAGGCTGGGGGCAAATAGGTGCATTTTCCTATTATCTATGGATGTAACTCAGATCGGATTTCCATGTCTGCCAAATCTTGTCTTGCTTTTATTCCGTCTTTGCTCTTCCCTTTCACGTTTAATAAAGTTCCGATGACACTGTCACAAACATTTTTTTCAACGTGCATCACATCAATATAATGTCTAACATCAAGTTTACACAAGTATGGAAGTTTAAAAAATATTAATCGTTTCTTCCAAATGATTTTTGCAAAGGTACTTTTATGATGTTTTCCAAACACAATGTCAATGTTTTTGACTTCGATGTATACTTGTTCACCATTTCGGGGTCTGGACACAACCTCATCCTCAGCACTTCCATTAAATACTTTTTTCAATCTACGATAAGGGTGATTACGAGGAAGGAATTTAAAATGTCTTGTATATACCGTCTTCTGACCATGCTTCAATTGAAGGTAACTAGTGTTTTCTTCACATATGGGACATGCAAAATGACCTTTAACACTATAACCGCTCAAGTTTCCATACGTTGGGAAATCATTTATAGTGCAAAACAACATTGCACGCAAACAGAACTGTTCCTCAACATGTGAATCAAACACATCAACCCCTTCTTCCCACAACAATTTCAAATCATCAATTAAAGGTTTTAAGTAAACATCAATGTCATTTCCAGGTTGTCTAGGACCCAATATCAACATGGACAACATCACATAATTTCTCTTCATGCACAACAAAGGAGAAGGATTGTATATCATCAACATAACTGGCCATGAACTGTGTTTGCTACTTAAGTTTCCATAAGGATTCATACCATCAGTTGCAAGTGCAAGTCTTAAGTTTCTTGGATCTGCACCAAATTCTGGAAATTTTTCATCAATCTTCTTCCATTGTGGTGAATCAGCTGGGTATTGAAGAAGATTATCGCACTTTCTTTCGTCAAAGTGCCATTTAAGGTTCTTTACATCTTCTTTAATAGAGAACATACGTTTGAACCTAAGTATTATAGGAAAATACCACATCATCTTAGCAGGTGCACCATCATTACCTTCATCAGCAGTGTTTTTGTCAGATTTCTTTTTAAAACGGGATAAACCACATGTTGGACAATACTTTAGTGAAGCAAACACCTTTATGTACAAAACACAATCATTAGGACAAGTATGTATCTTTTGATATTCAAGACCCATTGGACATAAAAAAAATTTTGCCTCGTAATTACGAATAGGTAAAGTATTATTTTCTGGAAGCATCTCCTTCAACAACTCCAACAACTCTGTGAAACTTTTATTGGTCCATCCATTCCTTGCTTTTAAACTAAATAACTTTAAAGTTGCAGACAGACGTGTAAAGTTCGAGCATCCTAGGAACAACAGTTGCTCTGAATCATTTATAAGAGAATCATACAAATTAGCTCTTCCAAAATTATCTTCAGCGACATCACGTATCATGTCCTCTAAATGATCATTTATCCATTCTTCCACATAATTTGTTCGTCGTGACGTGGTAGGCTGGTCCAGTACTTCTCCATGCCAAGTCCAAACGGTATAAGTTCTCATTATGCCGAACATGAATAGATGGTCACGCACATTGCCTAAGTCTTGCCGTATTTGATTAAGACAACGAACACAAGGACAAAAATATGTATCGTTCACAGACTTAGCATTTTGTTCAACATATTGCAAGAACTTCGAAACACCCTTATCATATTCTTCACTGATGCGACGTTCATTCATCCAGCTTCGATCCATACTATGTTCGTAAAATCATTCATCAGTTTAAGTTTTTTAGCTCTCACAAGGTTAGGCCCTACCTATTCAGAAAAATTATTTTTCATAATTTGCTAAGACACATGCAAAGAAATCTACATCATTAATTTGATAAGATTTCGGCAGCATTTGGCATTGGTCTCCGAAATACACGAAATGAGAGTAGTAAAGGATGAACACAATCAAATATGCATACAAAGAACAAAACAAATACTGAACCGAAATTTTATCAATCTTATCCATAAACTCCAACGTACATGTTATAAAAAATTATGAAAAATAATTTTCTCAAACTGTCCAATCGGACAATTCAAAATTTAATGCAAACGATTAAAAGATTAATCGTTTGTGTTAAATTTCAAACGGGAACTAAGTTTCACTCAATGATTTAATACTTATAATCTAACATGCCAATTATAATAACTCAACTATCACATGCATATTCAAAAGCCAATAACACATGCAGACCTTAAAGTCAAAAACATGCATACGCAAAAGCCAATAACATGTATACACAAAAGCCAATAACATGCATACAAAAAAATTATCAACAAAGAAGCTAACCTTTTTAGCAGATTAAAAAAGCAATGTAGGGAAATGGAGTAATGCAGGCCCAAAAACATATACCAAAAATAGTCAATAGCGTCGCCCAAGTTAATAAGCCAGAAACTGCACCAAAACATAACAGAAACGAACTTTAATCGGTTCAAATGGAAGATATTTCATGAAAGAGTAATTTAATTGGAGTAAAAGTAAATTTAAACGGTCCAAAAGAGAGGAAACGCACCTGGAAATGCAATGTGTAAGAGAGTAAACGCGGGAAAGACGATGAACAGCAAGCGTAACTCCTCGCGGGTTCCCGTTTTCAGTATAAATGATTGTAGACGCCGGGTTCTGGTGGGCCCCAACGTCTATAATATTATAGACGTCGGGGACCTGACTAATATGACGTCTTTGTGATTTAAATATTCATATTTGCGGGGCTTATAGACGTCCGTTGGGGGGGGGGCAACGTCTATAAATATTATAGACGTCGGGACCCCACTCAAACGAACGTCTAAATGGCTGAAAAAAATAACTCCTTACCTACCCTGTCAGCCATTTAGACGTCCGTTTGAGTGAGACCCAGACGTCTATAATATTATAGACGTCGGGGCCCCCCTAACGGACGTCTAAATGGCTGAAAAGAAAAACTCTTCACCTACCCTGTCAGCCACATAGGCGTCCGGGCCCTACTCAAACGGACGTATAAATGGCTGAAAAAAATAACTCCTCACCTACCTTGTCAGCACTTAGGCGTTCGTTGGGGGGGAGACGTCTATCATATTATAGACGTCAGGGCCCCCCTAACGGACGTCTATATGCCCACTTATTTACGAAAATGCCACCGGTCAATAATTTACGTTGGTGTTTTGGTGGACCGACATCTATTGGGTGACATTAAAGACCAATTCTGTACTAGTGTTGATATTAGAGTCTAAATTATTATTTTTTAAATCAAGCCAATTAATAATTAATATCATATAATTAAGCTAATTAATTTTTTGTATTTAGATTATTAAATCTCATTTAATTATGTTATACATAATTAAATATTTGACTTAGATCATATTGTTATGTATATATATCTATCTAATAGTTCATACATCCAAATTATCTTTCTCGCTTACATGGTAACACTAGTCTTTCTAATCTTGTCATATCTTCTTACATAGTGCTCCTCTTTTTTATGCATTGCCTCCATCTTCAACAGCTTAGCTCCATTGTTGTTCGTCCTAGTCGCCATCAACGTGCAAAACGGAGTAAGCCTAGCCAATGGAACCTTCAGTACGCTCGTGTCTTCTTGCATTTGATGGTCATACGTCCCTTCAATTTTACGCACCACCTCATGTCGTCGTCGTCGTTTCCTATTGCCATCACATCTTTCATCTTCATTAATAACCTGCTTTCACACTCTTACTCCCTTCTCCCACTCGCGCACTGTCCCTTGGTCCTCGAGACTATGCACCACCACCTGAAAGGTCTCGTCATGTCCCGTGCCTTACCGTTGATGCCACATCTTCAACAGCCTCTCCACTAGACTCCTCACCATTCATTCTATCATAGTTTTCCCCAGGTAAAACTGAATTTCACTCGACACTCATTGTCTCTAATATAAAAAAATAACACCTCTTTATGCTAGAAATGGAGAAGGATTATTATGTTATGTAGGCTGAACATTTTGAAACTCATGCTCGGGCCATTAGAGTTATTTACCATATCATCCCTCAACTTCGGAAGAAACGTTCAACTCCAATCGATGCTGATCACAAACAATGGATCACCTTTGATTTTATTGTACTTGAATGGATCTACTCCGCTATCTTTTTTTATCTCCTTGTGATTGTCATTGACAAAGGTTCCATAACTATGGATACCTGGAATCGTTTAACTATAATTTTTTAGGACAACCATAATTCCTGTATTTATGCTCTCGAGCAAGATTTCTTTTCTACTCGCATGAATGACTTTTCAAATGTTTTTGCATACTATCAGCGTCTTAGACGACTCTTTGATCAGTTATGGAATGTTGGTGCTCTTGTCAACAATCATCCTTTGGTTCTACAACTTGTCTCTTGTTTGTCTGAGCTTTTTCATGGTGTAGTAACCCTGATCCATCAGAGCCATCCTTTGCCTTCTTTCCTTCAGGCTTGTTCTATGTTAACTCTTAAGGAATCTGGTATAGCAAAGATGTAAACCATGGCTTCTCATATCGCCATGCACACTTCAACCCTAAGGGACATTGATCACTACTTTCTAGATTGCTTCAATCGTTGCTTGAATCATTGTTATGGGTTTAGCCGCAATCACAACAATCATGGTTGCTTTGGTTGATGTGATCAACACAATGATTGTCGCTTAAATGGTTCATTTGGTTCGTCTGACTCTCCTGTTGTAGTTCCTTCTCCATCATGGCAACCAAGTCAGTATGCCCCTTGGAATCCATTGGGTTGGACTCCTCCTCTTTGGGGGCATGCCTCATTTTCCTTATCCTATGGGTTGGACTCGCCCCACAAAACCTTCAAAGCAAGCTGACATTCTTGGTCAGAGTCATTAGACATACTCTGTCTCAAATTCCCCAACACCCACCAACATTGCTGCTATTATGCACATCATCTCCCTGACGCCTCCTAACAACACGTAGTACATGGACATTAGAGCCTTGTCACACTCAATGCATCACAAGGTAATCGATAGTCTTTTTCTAATTTGAGTTATTTGAATCATACACTTATTGTTGGTAGTGGTCTAGGTATTCCAATTCAGGGCTCTAGTCACACAACCTTTCCTATTTATTGGTCTAACTTCTGGTATCTATCACAATCGTCTTAACCATCCTAATTCCTCTATTTTATAGTCTTTTCATAAGAATAAATTTGTTGCCTGTGAACATTTAAATTGAAATACTATTTGTGATTCTTATCTATTTGGCAAACATGTTAAGTTGCCTTTTATCTCATCCAATAATACTTTGATGCATTTTGATACTTTACACAGTGATCTTTGGACATCACATGTTTTAAGTTCCTCTAGTAATCCTTATCATGTTTTTTTTATGATTACTTTGATTTCCTATGGACATTTCCTTTAGGTAATAAATCTCAAGTTTTTGAAAAGTTCACATCTCTCACTAATCAAATTCAAACATAATTTTAGCAAAAAATTAAATATTTTCAATGTGATAACGGACATGAATATTAAAATACTTTGTTTAATTGGTTTTGTGATGATAATGGTTCTTCTTCCAAAAAAAAAAGCAAAATGTTAAATCTGAATCATTAACAACATGATTAACACTATCTTTGCTCATTTATTCGTTCATCCTTCATTTTGGCATCACGCCCTTCAAATGGCTAACTATCTTCTTAATATACTTTCTCATAAGACTTTGTCTAATCAGTCTCACACTCAACTTTGTATTATCGTGATCCCTCTTATACACATTTGCAAGTTTTTTATTGTCTTTGTTATCCTTTGTTTCCATCTCCAACCATTAACAAACTACAAACATTATTGACTTCATGTGTTTTCTTAGGATATTCCCACAATGACAAAGGTTACAAATGTTTTAATTTTTCAAATAGAAAGATGATAATGTCACAATATGTCATTTTTTATGAAATAATTTTATTTTGCTCATATGCCTTCCTCTTCTATCTATAATTATGATCATTTCACTGATGACATACATCCCTCTCTTCTTCATCCATGGATCAACCTTGGCCTAGAGCCTTTTCCTAACTTATAGCTCACCAAATTACTCTCCTTATCATGTAGCACATCCACCTCTACGACCATCATTTCTACCTCACCTACTTTAGACTAGGCTAACCTACCTTTAAACCCTACACATGCACCACAGTTTGCCCTTCCTACTAGGACCATGGCCAATCGTAGCATGATAGGTGTCTAAACATCTAGAAAACTCTTTAGCCTTTCTGTTTCTATTGATGACCCGACCATATCACCTCTTCCCAAAAATCCTAAAATTGTTTTCTCGAACCATAATTGAAAATCTGCAATGCAATTTGAATTTGATGCTTTAATTAAGGATAATACGTGGGATGTGGTTTCGCGACCTTGTGATGTTAATATCATTCGTTATATATGGATTTTGAGACATACAAAGAAATATAATGGTCGTTTTGAGCGTTACAAAGCCCGTTTTATAGGTGATAGAAGATCTTAAATTACAGGTGTGGATTCTAATGAGACATTCAATCCGGTGGTGAAACCTGCCACCATTCACATGGTTCTCACCATTACTTTCTCCAAAAATTTGGCCCATTTACTGTTGCATGTTCATGATGGTATCGGAGGGGGTATTTTTCGAAGAGTATAGCGCAGCGGAATTAACAACTCAGAGAGCGGAATGTGTGTTCGATCACAATTAAAAATAATTTGGTCCTTTTAGTAAAAATAATTTTCTTTCAGAAACTTAATCAAACAGTTGATATACGTAAAATAATATGAGTGTAGAGAATAGAAAAATCACACAGATATTTTTATCCTGGTTCGATTCAACAGAATCTACGTCCAGTAGTTAATCACTATAAATAGTGATTAACAGTTCCACTGAAAAAGGTTTAACAGATTACAATCAAATGAACAGGAATAAAATGAAAAGAACCACTCTACCAACTTGAAGAGAACCGCTCCAGCAATCGACCAACGATTCACAAGCTTCTCCTTTCACAAGACCAGGCAGAGCACCTTGCTAACTTGAAGAGAGTCTGCTCCGACTATCGACACACACGATACGCGAGCCTCTCCTTTCACAAGACCAAGCACTGGAACGATGAACAAAAAAGCTCTCTAGAACATTCCTCTGACACACAGTGTTCGTAAGCTTTCTCATTTCAAAACTTATTTCTACTTTCTCCAAAACAAAATTATAGCCAGTACACTGAGTTCCAAATGTCAGCTCCAACTGCATGAATATCGATTATTTAGTGATCATCGATTATTCAAGTTCCGTTATAGGTTTTCAAAAATGTGATAATTCGTTATAATGAAGTGATAATCGTTATTCAAGTATGCTTGTGAAAATCGATTATTTGCTTAATCAATCATAAGCGATTAATTGTAGTTAAAATGGCAAGTTTACAAGGTTTACAAGAATTTCCTCTACATTTAATTTCTAACACACAAATTGCTTTTAACTCTTCTAAATTCTTCTGCAACTAAACTTCTTGTACACACATCAAACACATTTCTCAGATTTACCAATACTTCCTTATTGTAACACTCTCCCCCTTTTTGATATGATCAAAAATTCAATTTTAAAAAAGCAAGTTTTTGGCTTACCTGCAAAACAATACAAGCTAACAACAACCAAGGTTAGCACTCCCTGTAATAATTTATACTTTCTCTCTCACTTTGTATTATTCTTCTCCTATTCTTCTCCCCCTTTTGGCTCAGAAGCAAAAGATCGATGTTAAAAAGGCTTCCCCTAATATGATCTCCCCTAATATGTCCACACCCTCCAACAAAAGAATAGTTGTATTTTAATAAAAAAAACTTTCATAACAGAAAGAACAAAGGTCCATGAACACAAAATTTAGCTCCTTAATCAAGAAATACAAGTAAGACTTTAAAAGGATGTAGAAGATTCAACCAATTTTCTCCCCCTAAAGTAATATTCCCTTTTAAAAAATTTCCAAAATTTAAGATTTATTCAGTCTCATGAAATGCATGACTTTGTACAGTCAGTTCATATTAGGCTTTGTAATACTAAAAAAGAGTTTAACTGAAAGCATTACACTAGCACAATTAGTTTAAAACTAACTTTGACAGCACATTTACAACTTCCTAGACAACAATTGTCATACATGCATTCTCATATCCACAATATTTCAACTTCATAAATTTAAGCTATGATATCAAAACAACATATGCCAAATTCAATCACGAGCTGATTTTCAGGTTTTATCTTTCAACCATTTTTTAAACAAAATAATTTACATCAAAATTATGTAAATTTTAACAGTTCATTTACTACATCCAAGCTCTCAATGTATATTTTCATAGCTCATTCGTTATGCATTTGAACCTAAAAGCAAATCTCCACAGAACCAACTTTGAAACAGAAATGACAATTTAATTTTCACATGTCTTAATCATCCACAATTGCTAATGAAAATCTGTCAGCCAACTCACTCTTTAAATGACTTTTCATAGTTTTGATGCTTGCATAGATTAACAAACAAAGGAACTGCAAAGTGATTCATGAAATTGAATACTAAGCCATTTAAACCAATTAAATAGATAATTCATCAACAAAGCACTGAACTACCATGCACCTGGCTTTACATACATGAACTGAAATTCAGCACATGACTATCTTAAATAGATGACTTTCACTTGATCCAAATGTGTAACAGACACACACACCACAGGATGAATGAAAATAATGATGAACATATCATTTGCCTAACCAGAATGATATAACAGGAAATCAATAATGTGAAAATTAAGAAGAAACCAGAACAAAGTGCAATCACAGCAAGTTCAAACACACTTAGCTCAATCACAATGGAGTCTAACCAAGGCTTTGAATGCATGTTGATGGATTCACCTTCCTGTCCTTAGATCACATTATTTCCATTTCAAAAGCAATAATACCATGGATCTCCCTCTCCTTTTGAGCAATTAACCTGCAAAACCCATCCAACAGGTTTGGGTGCCCACAATCTCATTGGGTCCTCAAGGTTAGGACAACTTTTTTATTTTACTGTTATAATGGGCATCCCAAGCACTTTTTTCCATCATGAACATCAAATGTTTGATTCTACATTGTTTGAAGTATGTCCTTTTCTCTCATACATAGAAGCAACAAACACCATGCAGTTTGGTTTTTTTACAGTTGTTTCTTTCAAAACCCAAACTCCTACGAGTTCTTCTTAACTTTAGACTTTTTATGATGCATTGCTTTATTTCTAAAACATTGCTCCTTCTAAAAACATGTGAGACAGACTTGGTTGCTTTAGAAAGTAAATTTTCAAGTGTGTCAATGTTAAACATATGATTCTTACAAGACAAGCATTCAACAGGTTCAACAGTAGCATTTGCATCAGATAATTTTGTTTCTAAAGAACTACTTATTTTCTTACGACACCTTCATCATCAAGCACTTTTCATCATTCATTTAATTCATTGGCTCTTTCTTAAGTTTTTTATGTGCAACATCCCCCCCAAGTTTTTCAGATTCAATCACAATTCATAGAAAGCTTTTGTAAATCTAATTCACTAGATTCAAAGCTTGAATCGCTTGCTTTGACTTCCAGTTTCTTCAGAATCTTGCCATAAGGCAAGATTGGCTTCTTCCTTTTGGTGGTCACTTGACTTGTTGAGCTTAGAGGCATTATCCTCCCAAGCGTTTTTTTTCTTTCTTCCTTTGAAACTTTCTTTCCTTCTTGTCTTCACTTTTCTTCTTGCTTTTTGGACACTCAGATTTTACGTGCCCTTTTTCTCCACAACCGA